GGGACTCGATCCCGGGACTCCAGGATCATGACCTGAGCCGAAGGCAGTCGCTTAACCAACTGAGCCACCCAGGCGCAAGGCACAGATTTTGATACACCACCCCCACGGCTTCCCCCCATCATTGACGGTCGCCACCGAGAGTGGGACGCTTGTGACCGTCGCCGAGCCCACACGGCCGCATCACGGCCACTCCAAGCCCATAGCTGACAGTCTGGCTCAGTCTTAGTGCTGCACTGAGGGTGGGGATGGACGTATGAGGACACGTGCCCGCCACCGTGGTCTCGCCCGGAGGAGTCTCCCTGCCCCCGAGCCAGGCTCCAGCCTGGAGGCCCTGGGAAGGTTCACTCCCTTTGCAGAACTGAAGGGCATCCAGTTGCAGTCCTGGGCTGACCTGTATCTTCCCCTCTCTCCCCAGAAGTGGCAGATGAGCCTGGGAACCAGCGAAGACCACCAGCACTTCACCTGCACCATCTGGAGGTGAGCCCGGGGTCCCGGTGGGGGGGATCTCCCCTGCAGGAATGCGCTGAGGCTGCTGAGGGGGGGTGTGCCCGCGGGGCCTCCAGGCAGCAGGGACCGGCACCTCTGAGGAGCATGGGCTGGGGGTGATGGTCACCCACGTGCAGGTGGGAGGGAGGGTGTGGCGCTGTGCTGGGGGCTGCTGGGGTTGGGAGGGCTCCCCAGGGAAGCGCATTGACACTGGGGCCCAGAGGGGGTGGGGGGCAGGGTCTGGGCTCCCCCGCATCGTCCCCCTCTGTCTCCCCACCCTGCAGTGCGGCATGAGTGAGCGGTGGGCCTGAGAAGAGATGGAGGGAAGGGGGTGCTCAACTCAGTGGGGGAGGGCGCTGGAGAGTATCACATCCTAGCCCTGCTCCCCTGGGCTCTGCGGCCTGGATCTGATTCTTCCAGCGTTGGTCGTGGGTCTGGCGTGGTGCAGGCACCTCGGGGGATGCACAGAAGTGCAAGCCGTGGTCCCACCCTCGCAGGGGATCGGCCGAGGGGGACGGAGCACTTGGAGGGCCGTGGCAGCGATGTTGAATCAAAGGACACCCGTGTTCTCATCCTACTTGCAGGCAGCACCCCCCAGGCTTCTGCCTGATGCTCTGTAAACAGCAGGTGCTTACTAGGCAGTGTTGGGGGACATTCTGACCCGCTCTGTGGACCGGCCCCTGTTGGCAGCAGGCAGAGGAGCCCCAGGGGCCGCCCTGATGACTGGGCACGTGAGCACCAGCACCCTAGGTGGGCGCAGCGCCAGGCCACAGAGGCCTGTGGCCATGCTCAGCCCCAGAGCCGCCCTGACTGTGGGGCCACCCGTTTAACAAGAGGTCCTGCCTGAACGGGCTGTTCTCCCAGTTTCACACATTGACTGACCAGGCCCGGCACAGCCGCTGGGCCTTAGAGAGTCCAGGAGGCTCCCTGGACCTCCCCCGCCTCCCTCCTGACGTGCCCCCGGCAGGACTCTCCTGGCCCCCCTGCTGCCTCTCCACCCCCGCCCCCATCACTGTCTGCTCTCCGCACGCGGCCACACAGGGCTCTTCACCCTGCACACACTGTCACCCCCTTGTTGCCACCAGCCCTCTCTCAGCTCCCCTCCGCTCTGGTCATGCTGACCTGGTGGTTCTTTAAATACCCCCATTTGCACTCCATGGGACCTCTGCCCTCTGCTCTCTCCCTCCTCTGCCTAGTTAATTCCTGTACTTCTCAGCCCCTGGGATGTTGCCTTTCCCTGGTTCCTGGTACAATACCTGGAATGTCTTTGGCACTTCATGAAAAAGTGTTCAGTCCCTATCCTAGGACAGCTTGCACCCAGAAGGAGAAACAGACTTGTCAATAAATGAGCCAAAAGAATGTTCTAGTACAGAGGAAAGAATAAACGATGTGGAGGAGGCCAGGGCTGACTCCCTTGCCTGCCCTTCCTTTGCAGGCCCCAGGGCAAGTCCTACCTGTACTTCACGCAGTTCAAGGCAGAGGTGCGGGGTGCCGAGATCGAGTACGGCATGGCCTACGTGAGTACGGCATGGACTGCACCTCCCAGACAGGTGGGAGGGAGGGTGTGGCGCTGTGCTGGGGGCTGCTGGGGTTGGAAGGGCTCCCCAGGGAAGCGCAGTGACACTGGGGCCCAGAGGGAGTGGGGGGCAGGGTCCGGGCTCCCCCGCATCGTCCCCTTCCGCCAGCAGGGGTGGGGAGGCGGTTGAAGTGAGGAGACAGACACAAGTCCTTAGAGGGTGATTTTGTAACATGGGAGGACATGGGGCGCCATGCAGACTCTGGACCAGGAGGTGCCAGGGAGGTGGCACTGGGCTCAGAGCGGGACCCTGCTGACCCCTAGAGACCCAGCAGGCGGAGGAGGAAATGGACACCCGGCCTCCCTCTCTTATCACCTGCCATCTCCTGCCGGTGCGCCCTGCTGGCAAGGCCCACAGGAAGCCAGAGGGGAGGGGCCCAGGACACTAGCGGGGACAGTGAGGGCAGGCATGGACCCAGAGGTGCAGGCAGTGTGCTCACTGGTGTGGGGCAGGCCCCGTGTCCGGTGGCTTCCGTGACCTGTGGTTCATGGCCCGGGCAGCGCCTTCTGCCACGCCACTGACCCCCACGGCCCGCAGCAGGGGCCGGCCGCGCTGCAGAGCCCTGCCCCCCACCCCCGCTTCTGCGTTTGGGTCACACACGGTTTGAAAACCACCGTATGAGTCCAAGCAGCAGAACCAGCAGGGACGGGCATTAAGAGATTCAGTGCCAGGAACTGGCCCTGCTCCCAGGGGCCTTCCCGCTAATGGAGTCAGGCCCACCCAGGGTCACTGAGGATGATCTCCTTAAAGTCAGCTCCTGGCCGACTTTTTTTTTTTAAAGATTTTTATTTATTTATTTGACAGAGAGAGAGATAGCGAGAGCAGGAACACAAGCAGGGGGAGTGGAAGAGGGAGAAGCAGGCTTCCCGCCAAGCAAGGAGCCCGATGCGGAACTCGATCCCAGGACCCCGGGATCATGACTTGAGCCGAAGGCAGACGCCCAACGACTGAGCCACCCAGGCGCCCTGGCCGACTTTTATCACATCTGCAAAGTACCTTCCCGCAGCGAGCGCCTGACTGCGGGCTTGCGGAGCGTGGCCACTCCCAGCCATCCCACCTCTGCCGCCACACCGCTGGTCCCGCTGCTCTCGTGCGCCTGTCTTACTAGAAAACTCATATTTAGCCGATTTGAAAGAGAGACAATTCTGATTTTTAAAAATTGCATTCAAGGGGCACCTGGGTGGCTCAGTTGGTTGAGCGACTGCCTTCGGCTCAGGTCATGATCCTGGAGTCCCTGGATCGAGTCCCGCTTCTCCCTCTGACCCTCCCCCCTCTCATGTGCTCTCTCTCTCTCTCATTCTCTCTGTCTCAAATAAATAAATAAAATCTTAAAAAAAAAAAAAAATTGCATTCAAGAGACTGCCCTGCTTCTGTCATTTCCGTATGTTCACCGAAGGGGAAAATACCTTCCTTGGGGATTGGCAGCAAAGGCATGAAATTTTAAGCCAGTTGACAGTCTCCTAAGTGGATTAACCACTGCTTCTGCTGGATTCTCTTAGTGCTTAGAAGAGCAGCGCCCGCACGTGCCCCTTTAGTCAAAGTGTGTGGCTTTAGCCCAAGCTGGGCTCTTGGGAGCAGGAAGAGCAGGCTGAATCGCGTACTTTCCTGATTAGGGATGTTTCCACTTGTTCTCTTTCAGTCGAAAGCTGCGTTTGAAAGAGAAAGCGACGTCCCCCTGAAAAGCGACGAATTTGAAGTGACCAAAACAGCAGGTATGTAAGGACGGCTTGTGGAGATGGACCCCAGGTTCTTAGGCACAGAAGGTGGGGAGAGAGGGGGACAGCACCCCCATCAGAGGGACAGGTTATGGCCCAGTGTCTGCAAGCTGTTTCTGTAAAGGGCCCCTAGTAAATATTTTTGGCTTTGTGGGGCAGACAGCCTCTGCCAAGACGACTCAACCTGGGCGAGCAAAGGCCGTGAGCCACAGGGCACTGAACGGGCATGGCTGTGTCCTAATAAAACTTGATTTTATGAACACAGAAATGTGAATTACATATCACAAAATGTCATCTTCTTTTTGATTTTGGCTAAAGCTATCTAAAATGTAAAAACCACCCTTAGCTCATGGCACAGGCCAAGCAAGCCCTACTAGGGACCTGAGGGCATGAAAATCTACTGAGGCTCTTGGGGATGTTCAGTGGGATTGCTCCCTAGAAGGGGGGGGCCTGTGACTTCCACATAGCTTGGCTGTCCTGGGTTCTGTGACTAGGAACAGCTTCAATGCTTGGGCAGCGGGGTTACTAACCCCTAAGGTCTCGGGGGGGGGGGCCTGGTGTCCTGAGCCATGTTCAGCCCTGCAGGGCAGATGTGAGCAGAAAGAGGGGTGGGAAGCTCCAGAGTTGGGGCTCTGTGCGTGAGAGCAAGGTGGGGGGCGAATGATGATGATGATGGACACAGGAGTGGAGCCATGTTGCAGGGAGTCCTGAAGGTCCTGAGGGACACAAGAGGTGAGGTGAAGGATCCTTGTGGTTGTGGGCATCACCAGGCATGGGAGAGGGGTGGGGGGTGCAGTGAGCGGGGCTTTCAGGAGGAGGGGCCTTGGGTCTGGAAGGAGCCCTGCCTCACCTGCAGGTCCTCGAGGGTGTGGGGGCTGTTGCGAGTAGAGGTCCAGGACAGGAGATGGGGCGGCCAGCAGAACCTTGACCTCAGGGCACACAGAGATGGGCAGGGCTGAGCCTCTGGGGAATATCAGGTGAAGGCCGCCATTGGGCCTCAGACAAGTTTGCCAGCACAAGCAGGAGGTGACGCAGCCCGCCCCCTGCCTCCCATCCATCCTCACCGTGGCAGAAATGACCACTGCTCTTCCCACCCTGAATGTTCCTGAGGCCTCCTCCTGCCCTCAGGACTGGCCCACCAACCTCTTCTTTCTTTGGTCCCTTACCCATAAGACTTTCAGGGCTGGGGGTCTTTCCCTGTCGAGTCCACTTCGGGGACTGCTCCCCTGCCCCGCCCAGGACCCAGCGCTCTGGAGTGGCGAGGGCCCGACCATGTGCTTCTTCTCTCACAGTGTCCCACAGGCCCGGGGCGTTCAAGGCCGAGCTGTCCAAGCTGGTGATTGTGGCCAAGGCCTCCCGCAGTGAGCTGTGACCAGGAGCCCCATCGGGGGGCGGCTTTTCCTCATCTCCGCTGAAGGAGCTGGGCCCTGGGACTGCTGGTGCATTACTGGTTTTCTAGGGGGGACTGTTGGCTGATGTCCTCTGAACATGGAGCAGGGGTCTGAGACCCGCTGCCCGTCTTTCTTACCAAAAGAGGCACTGGGGCACACGAAGGGGGCTCCCGGGGGAATCATGGCTTTTCTGAAGCCAGGATGTGTCTCCCTGTGGATCAGGCCGGGCTCCGGATCACTCCCAGGGAGAGTGATCCTGCTGCCCTGAGCCCGAGCCAACTGTTTTCTTACAGTTTTCCCAGGGGACCTTCTTCCAGACTAACTGGGAAGAAATGAAATGTTCTTTTCATATTTAAATAAATAAGACGGTTGAAAAGCAACCACTTTGGCAACTGGCGCTGGTGCTGGCCTGTCCAGGCACTCAGGGCTGGGGGGCGGCAGCAGGGTCTGGCTGCCCGTACCCGCCCACCCTGCTGGAGTCCGGCGACCTGTCACCACAGGCACCTGGAATCTCCAGGCATGAGTCCTCTGCAGGCGCAGAAGGGCCAGGTCCCAAGGGGGTCGGCCATGAACCTGGATCCCTGAGCTCGTGGGGCAGGGCCGGCCACACCCTGCAGGTCACCCCCCGCGGTGGGGGAGTGCTCAGGGCGGACCTCTTCTGCACTTGGCTGCTTGGCTTCACTTCTCTTTTTGAGGCCGGATTGCATGTGGTGACTTAAAACAACAGCAACCACAAACACCCATAGGCAAACAAAACCCCCAAATGCCCCAGCCACTCAGAAGGTCTTGGTCTCCCAGCAGTGGGGCCTGGGAGTCTGACCCCAGCTTGCCCTTCAGCCTGCCCTCCGACCGGGCTCTCTCAAGAGCAAAGGAGGGGAAAAGAAACTGGGCTGTGCATCAGAATCCTTGCTTATCAGAATCACCGTGTGGGATTGATGGAGGACTCCTCCCCTTTCACTCGCCTGGCCTCCCTCGTGTCACCCCGAGGACGTGGGCACGGTGGTGACCCCACTTGCCAGAGAAGAAGCAGGTGGGTTCCTGCCCCAGATCACACACCTGTAGGAAGTGGAGTGGGACTCTCCCCCTGTCCACACCCGCAGTGTGTATAGACCAGTGTGGGAGCGTGAAGAACAGCTGTTCTCAGAGCACACAGCAGTTGCAGGGCCCCCCGTGGCCCCGGAGATACTCGCGGGGAAGGACCCCGCCATCCCTCGCTGTCCAGCACACACACTCCACACTGCTCGTGAGAGTTCTCAAGGGCACATGCATCCACGGGGGGTTCACCCTACTCAAGAACAGATGCGCTTTGAGCTCTGGTGAGCACGGGGACCCCAGGGAAGGCCGGGAGCCTTTGGTGCTCCGGCTTTGGGTTCGGTGGATGGAAAAACCAAGTGGGTCGCCACAGCAGCCCGGAGACGGATGGCTGCCCGGGGTCCCCTGCAGAAACAAGGCAGCTGGAAATGCAGGAGTGACCTGGCACCCCGGGGCCACCGCGGGTCACGTGGGCCTGACCCCAGCAGGAGGGACGGATGCGTCCACGACCAGCCTGGAATCACAACTTCCAAATCTTGTGGGGTCGTCAAGGATGCAGAGCCAGCGCCTGCTGTGTCCTGGGACAGGGCAGGACATCCGGATGCAAACTAGTCGCCCTTGTCCCCACCAGCCATTTGCAGGCTTCTTTCTAGATGTTTTGGGTAAACTCGAAAAGGAACCCACCCTGGCCCTGGGGTCTTTGGTCATGATGAGGAGCTGAGCCGAACCCTTGTTTGGGTGCACACGGGCTGACCTGCACGTCCATCCTCCCGGCGCCTGGGGGAGCGGAACTTGAACCTGTCAGCGAGGACCGACCCGCGGGCGTGTGATGTTACACGCAAGCTCAGTTTGAAAGGCAGGAGCCCCGGGAGGGCAAGAGAAAACTGTCAGCACCAGCAATTTAATCGCTAGTCCCACATGATGCAAATGGAAGATGTGTGCTTTTATTGAAATAGTTCTGTGGTGCTCTTTGGTTTTTCTAATTAAATCTCAAATTATGAAGAGTCAAGACAGGCTGGACAGCCCAGCAGGGCACCAGTACAAAGCCTTATGCACATTGATGAATTCAGTGTGCAAAGCCGAGGACAAAGGCTTTCTTTCCTCTGGGGCTTCTCGGGTGCTCAGAATGCAGATTGTTCTTGAATGTGAAGATCTGTCTCCTGACAGAAGATGGGAGGGCAGGTTTGCCTTAGCGGGGTGGGGCAGAGGTGGGCAGAGGGGCTGGCTCGCGGGCAGGAGAACCTTGGCTTTCTCAAGGAAGCAGAAACCCAACCAGAGGAAGGCCGTCCTGCATCTGGGGCAACAGTGCCCTGTCAGCCAGTGCAGCAGGCCAGGGGGAGGCAAAAGGGCGTGGTGGGGACTGCGGCGGGCCGGAGGGGCAACGTCAGTGTAGCGACAGCGGCGGCCAGCGCAGGCTCAGGCAAGTTTCCGAGCAAGACTCCACGTCTAGGTGGGTACGTGCAGTATCCTTGACTAACGCCAGGTGTCTCAATGGATGGGGCCGACCACACCCGTCTTCTCGCCTACAAAGGCCTGCAGGCCTCCGGTTTGAAAGCTTTGCCCCACAGACCTGGTCCTGCACAAGTAGTCGTGAGACCTCGTCCCCCCTCCCCCGCCCCGCAGGTGCCCCGAACAGCCTTCCCAGCCCTGCCTCGACCCACCTGCCGCAGCGTTACGCATGCCCCTTCTGCCAAACGAGCGCCGCAGCTACACTCCCACGCCCCACCTGTCCATCTGCGCCCTGAGCTGAGAGTCCCTGCATCCTCTGGGTGTCGCCAAAGCCAGAATTTGTTGAGCGTTGCTTTCCGTGGTCTCGTCAAAACAGTTGTTGGTCTACCGAACACGTGAGATGATCATCTTCAAATGGGCATGCCTCTCAGCTGGCTTTACCCTGGAGCCCCGGGTCGGGGACACCCTCTGACCCCTCCCACGTGGGAGTCGGCTGCGATTCCAGCCCCATCGAGACATCCTACCCAGAGCAGCCACCCCGGCGCTCTCCTCGGCGCCCCGGTGCACCTGCCCTGGGGCTGCCGGAACTGAGTGCCCCCGGCCGGGCGGAGGCAGCAACAGAAATGTGTTCCCTCTTAGTTCTGGAGGCCAAAAGCCTGCAATCAGGATGTCAGCTGGGCTGTTCCAGTGTCTGCCCCCATCTTCACACACGTCCGAATGTCCCCTTCCTACAAGGACCAGGGGCCCAGCCCTACTCCAGCCTGACCTCATCTTAACTAATTACATCTGCAACGACCCTCCTTCCCAAGAAGGTCACATTCAGAGGTCCTGGGGGCTAGGACTTCAGAGAATTTGGGGAGATGCAGCTCACCCTGTAACACTCCCTTTCTTGCGGTTCACCATGACCCTGTCGCAAGCAACCGGCAACATCGTTCACATCATTAAGTGGCGAGCTCCAGCTTCCAGAGGCATCCGGTGGCTGGAGGGGTGGTGCGGTCAGGCCAGGCCAGCCTGGGCAGAGAGCAGTCTCAGGGTGCTTGGGGAGGCCACGGGCCGGCAGGCTGAGCTCTTGTCCTCTGGAGATGGGGCAGAGGGAGAGGCGACAAGAGTCCTTAAAACCGCTGCCTCGCACGGATTAGCATCCTCTCCGAGGAGACGGGCACCTGTCCTGGGGATTTGGCCAGAATTGGACGGGAGAAAAGAGGTTCTGGAGCCGCCCCCGCCCCCGCAGCAAACCCAGGCCCAGAGGTCATATGCTGTCGTCGTCCAGCATCCTGGTGAGGCCCTCGCAGATGTGGCGCAGGTGCGAGCGGTAGGGCTCGGCGGGGCTGTAGAGCGCCGCCAGGAAGTCGCAGTCGGCCAAGTGGCCGAAGACGTGGTTGATGCGGCCGTGGGATTTGGCCGTCAGGTGCGTGCCCACGGCCTGGTGCAGCAGGTCCCGGCACTCGTGCAGGGCGGCGGCCAGCACGCGCCGGTCGAAGGTGAAGTCCACCTGGTGGAAGCTGACCGCGGTCATGGCCAGGCGGCGTGCCCTCTGGCGGAAGCGCTGCAGCAGGGCCAGCTCCTCGCTGTCCAGCTGGCTGCTGCGGAGCAGGACGCCCAGCTTCACGGCCACCTTGACCAGGTTCTTGAGCACCTTCTGGGCCTCCTTGCGGCTGCGTGTGAACTCTTTGGTGGCGCGGTACAGCTCGTCCAGCACCTCGCTGCTCGTGTCGTCGATGAACACGGCCATGGTGGCCTTGGACGCCATCTTGCTCAGGAGCTTCTTCTGGGCCTGCAGGGCCAGGCTCTTGGTGCTGAAGGCGTCCATCGGCCCTGCCGGGTAGAAAGGCACACAGGCGTCAGTCCCCACAGCCCCGGGGCCCGCCGGGCCCCTTGTGTTTGCTGCCACGTCGTCCCAATCCGTGAAATGGGTGCGTGCCAGTGGCCTACCCCCGGGGGAGCCTCACCAACAGGAGCCTGCTGTTCCACAAACTTGCCGGGAAGCACCTACTGGGTGCGGGGTGGAGGCGTGTCCAGGACACATGGCCCGTGCTACCCTCAGAAGCTACAAGATGCCATCGCGTGGGCACCCCAGAGAGGCAGGGGTGTGGGCAGGCCTGGAGGGAGGGACAGGCGAGGAGGTGGGCAGAGGGCCAAGTCCCAGGCCGACAGATCTTCACACTCCGCGACCTAGAGGAGGGACGCTCTGAGGAGCCAGAGCACAGACACAAAGGGCAGGACACCTACGTAGGAAGGCTTGTGAAGAAAAATCAGTCACACCGAAAAGATGGGGACCAAAGGGACCCTAAGGGATCTAAGGGAGTTCATTTCTAAAAAAAGAAAGAGGGGCGCCTGGGTGGTTCAGTTGGTTAGGCGTATGCCTCAGTTGGTTAGGCGTCTGCCTTCAGCTTGGGTCGTGATCCCAGGGTCCTGAGATCGAGTCCCGCATCGGGCTCCCTGCTCGGCAGGGGGTCTGCTTCTCCCTGTGCCCCTCACCCTGCTTGTGCTCACTCTCTCTCATTCTCTCTCAAATAAAATCTTTTAAAATTTTTAAAAAAGGAAGGGAGGGAAGGAAGGGTAAAGTCAAAAGGGAATGCATAATGGTGAAATCTGGGCAGGATGTTCTCCAGTCCCCCAGACCCACCGTATCCTCGCTGTGGGCTGAGGAGGGGCTCAAGGTGAGTTACCACAGGCAGATTCCACCCCCACTAAGTCCAGCTTGTCATTCCCCACCCCCCTACTGAACTGCAGGATGGGGGTCCCAGGCCCTCTTTAGGGTGGAGGAGCCCAGTTATTACCAATTCCCTGGCCTCACTGTCCCGGCGCCCTGGGGCGAGAAATGAGCCAGGTGGGCAGTAGCCTGGGCTGTGGGGCCCCGGCGGGGGGGGGGGCGGGGCACGTGTGAGGTTTCTAGAAACACATTGCTCCAGCGACGCCTCTGATCTGGAAACACTGACTTGTGACAGCTCCCGCCCGGGAAAGGGCCGGGACAGTGGCCAAGGGGAGCGGCAGGCCAGCTCTCGGGGCACAGTGAGCAGGCCTCCAACAGCAGACTCTGTCTGTTCCTCACACCTGTCTCCACGGCCAACTGCCAGGTGCCCTGAGCTCTGAAGCCGCCCCTCCAACCACCTCCTTCCCGCGGTGCCAGAGTTCTTCCCAACCTGCACATCTGGGCATGACCCTTGCCTTCTGAGGACCGGCTGGCAGCTCCCACAGCTCCCAGGACCCGGCCCCACACCTCATTCGGGTGCCCACATCCTCCCTGGTGAACTCCTATTCATCCCCCCAGAGCCCTGGCCCCTGAGTCCCTGCCTCTTCTCGAAGTTTCATCCCTCAGCTCAGCTTGGATACTACCTCTTCTAGGAAGCCATCCCCGAACCAGCAAACTGACGATGAGGCACCTCCTCTGGGCCACGCAGTGCCCCAGGCACCCCCCAACACTGCTCTGCCCACCCCCACAGCCTTCACTCCCCAGCTGGTCGGCCTCACCCCAGCCAGCGGGGCAGGCAAGGGGCCCGCTTCCTTACCCGCTGTGTCTTTGGAGACTCCACAAAAATGAATGAGGCAAGCCTGAGACCCACCCCCAGCCCTCACCCACTGGCCCAGGCCGTAGTAGAATCCACCCCCATCCTGGCCCCAGGCCGGCCAGACCAGGAATGCCATGTGGGTGCCCGCTCAGCCCCCAGAACCCCCACAAAGCCCGTCTTTGTGTGAGCTCACACCCTGAGAGAAGTCCCACCCCCTGGGCTGCCCCCTCGCCTGCCCTCAGAGGTCAGGGTGGGCACCGGGATTGCAGGACTGCCTTCCCTGCCCCCCACACCGTCACCAGTCTTTGGGGCTACGTGGGCCTGGGCCAGAGCAGGGGTGCTCCTGACTTGGCCCCACATGGCGGGCCCTGAGCCGGCAGCGTGCACCCATTTCATCATTTCCGCCAGGTAGTAGGCTGATTTCCAATTTGCTGAAGAAATTACACAGGCTCAGAGAGGCTGAGCCACTTCCCCTAGGCCACACAGCAACACAGCAACTGACCGCCTCGGCAGGCCTAACTCTCTCCACCTTCCCCAGCTGGTGCCTGCAAATCACCTCGAGCTTTCAAGGGCCAGGAGCTGTTTCAGTGACAAATCCAGCCCCAGGACTTAGGACCTGCTCCCGGATCTGACCGCTTAGTCAAGCAACATAACCGTCCCATGCCTCAGTTTCCCCATCTGTAAAATGGGGCAGATGGAACTAAGTCTGTCCTAGGGCAGAAGCTTGTGGCCGACCCCAGTGCGCCCCAGGCTGTGAGCTTTCCCTGGGCCAGGGGCTGGATGCCACTGCCTGGAATTCTGCCATTCAAGCTCCACGCCATTCAGGTCCCTGAAGGCATAGCCCTACTTGTCTGTGAGATTCTCTGGGGAAAGGGCAGCAGCAGCTTCGGGCTGCTGAAGGGAGTACCTGTGCCTCCCAGATGCCTCCCCACCAGTTTCTCTAGAACGTTCTATTCCATTCCCTGTACCAGGACTCCTCCTCTCCCTATTACTCATCCTGTAAACTGCTCATCCAAGTCTCAGCATCGCGGTCACCTCCTCCTGGAAGCCTTCCTGGGTGTCCCAGGCTGGGCCAGGTGCCCCTTGGCTCCCATGGCGCCCCCGGGCACGCTCCATTCTGGTCTCGCACACCTTGATCTCATTGTTCGTCTCCCTGGCCTGACAGTGCAGGCAGGGGCTGGGGCTCCCTTGTTCACACGGTGCCTCCGGTGGTCAGCCCAGGGCCTGGTACACAGCAGGCGCCCCATAAGTGTTTATTGAAGGCATGAGGGAAAGGATGTCCACAAACATCAGGAACGAGAAGGAACCCCCAAGGCCTTGCGTTCAGTCTCCCCAGCTTACAGATGGACAAACAGGCTCAGAGAGGGAAAGGACTTTCCCTGAGTCCAGGGAGGAGCCCCAGGCGCCTGGACCCCAAGGGCCCTGGAGCCCAGGTCTTGCTGCCTATCTTGGTTGCTGTGTGACTTCCAGGGGTGAGGTGGCGGGCGGGGGGCTCTGTCCCTCTCTGGGCCTTGGCCTTCCAATCTGCAAGTGCTGGTTGAGTGTGTTGGTTCCGGAGGGGAGCTGGGCCCCCAGCAGGACCTCCCTCCTAAGCCCAGAAAGAAAAGGCAGCTGCAGCCTCCCTCCGGGCCTCCACACTCCTAACCCCTCCTAACTCCCAGCCCCCAGACCTGCTAACACCTGGGCCGGGCCAGCTGCATGAGCCCCTCCTCCCCGACCCATTGTTCTGCCAGAAACCCCCCGTCCAAGCAGGCGGACAAGGAGATGACTGCCATCCCAGGGGAGCAGGCCACAGACGAAAATAAACCCCGGCCTTCCTTCCTTCCTACACACTCACCCAGGTCTGAGGGCGGGCAAGCCAGGAGGTGACCAGGCTGTGCCACGTCAGCCTTTCTGGGGCAGGGCCTTCCCAGGAACTGCCCAGGGGCTCAGGGGCCAGATGGTCAGCGTCCCTAGTCCCTGCCCACCGAGTGCCCGAGTGTCCCATTATCATCAAAGCTAAAAAAGCCTGCTAAAGGATCGAGGGCTTGGCTAGAACACTCATTCAGTCGCTAATGAGCATTTATGGAGCTCCACGTGTGTCCTAAGCACGGGGGATACTGGAATGACCCAAAGAGATCCTGTCCCTGCCTTCTGGGGGAATTCCAGCCTTCTAGACCCAGGCCACCTTATTACAAAATAATTTGGGTCCCCCCATTTCCCTGAAATGCAATCTGCAGACACCACTGTCTACCTGCACCCACCAGTTTAAAAACAAAATAGGGGGTGCCTGGCTGGCTCACTAGTTAGAGTGTGTGACGCTTGATATCGGGGTTGTGAGTTTAAGCCCCATGTTGGGTGTAGAGATTACTTTAAAACCTTTAGCGGCTCCTGGATGGCTCAGTAGGTTAGGCGTCTACCTTCTGCTCAGGTCATGATCCTGGGGTCCTGGGATCGAGCCCCACATCGGGCTCCCTGCTCAGTGGGGAGTCTGCTTCTCCCTCTAGCTCTGCCCCTCCCCCCAACACATGCGCGCCCTCTCTGTCTCTCAAAAATAAATAAAATCTTTAAAAAAATTAAATCTTTAAAAACATAAATAAATAAATAGATGGTATAAAGGTGGTAATCTGAGGCAGACTGATCGGGGAAGGGATCTGGAACATCCCTTGTTTTGTGTCTCAATTTGGGTCTATACAAATGTAAAAAGCCATCGAGCTAGATGGTCGTACAACTGTGATTATGCTAAAACCCAGCAAATTGTACACTTTCCAAGGATGAATTTTATGGTATGTGAATTTATAATCTCGATAAAAAAAATTCTAATCTTTCTCCAAAGAAGAAACATAAATGGCCAACAAGCAGCAGGAAAGACGCTCAGGGAGGGAACCAGACAGAGAAAGCCACACAGGGTGTGAGTGCACGTGGGTGACACGGCCAGAACAGACTCATCCACGGAGAGGAAAGGGGGGTCGTGGGAGCGGGGGGCTGGAGGCGGACTGTGTGGGGCGGGGCGTGACTATTGATGGGGATGGGGTTTCTTTTTGGGGAGAGGGAATGTTGTGGAAGTTGAATACTTCATTATTTTTTTTAAAGATTTTATTTATTTGAGAGAGAGAGAGTGAGAGAGAGCATGAGAGGGGAGAGGGTCAGAGGGAGAAGCAGACGCCCCACTGAGCGGG